ACTGTTTTTTTGAGAATATTTTGTTTTGTTTTTAGTGCATTTTGTTTTGTTTTTAGTGTATTTTGTTTGGAAGTCGGTTTTGTTTTTTTGTTCTTAACAGTATGTTTGTTGCAGGTAGAACAATGTGTACACAATAGATCTAACTTCAACGGAGAAGAGTTAAATCTTTACAACCAACATTTAAGTCAGCTGCAGAAACTATACGCGGAACTGCTATCTACCAGTACTAAACGGTAAATATTACATTACTAATATAAAGTTTAGATGGATGTGTGTATGTAGCCTAAACTGCTGATTTCGATGATAGTCATAGATGTAGAGGATAATCTGGAAGATATACGCTTACTCACTTTTCTTTTAATTTCGCGCAGACGGAATCGCGGGCGAAAGCTAGCATTGCCATAATTTATAATACAACAAATATACACAAAAATGGGAATTTAATGAAACTATGTTTCTGGAGAATGTCATTTATTTCAGAAACTTAAATTATTGATATAAACAGGTCTATTTTTTAATAAGTCTGTGATCACAGCCTTAAAGTAAATTATTATACACAGGGGGATAATGTGTTCTTATTAAAACATCTTTTTTGAAAAGACTATTGGTCCTTAGAGTCGGATATAAACTACACATTAGTACTAGTTAATGTTAAAATATTGTTTTTCTTGTATATAGTATATCAGATCTGGACGCGCTGCAAGACTTCCTGCAGTCGGCGACAGCGGAGCTGAACTGGCTTAACGAGAAGGAGCAAGTGGAACTGTCCCGTGACTGGGCTGACCCGCACATCAACCTGCCCGCGGTACAACACTACTATGAAGTAAGTTTTTAAACTTTATACAACTGGTTTATCCATAGTAATATCACACAGAGGAAAGATTTGTATTTTTGTTTGTATAACTTAAAAACTACTAGGCCGATTGCAAAATCTCCTTCACTATTAAAAAGCTATGATAACAGCTAGTATAGTTATGTATATAGAGGAAAATTGCGCATAATTTTCACATCCCATTTTATTAACGTCTTTTCCTTTTGTACAATAGTTAACAGATATTTTGGTTGCTTGATATTGTACTGGTCATTTAGATGTTTAAAATATAACGGCGTAAAGTAAAGCAAGGGGAGGGCATTTGTACAGATGACCTTGAGACGCCAACTTTTTTAAAATAACATAATTGGACACTAAAAAATGGTTTAAACAGTGATGTTTTGGTGTATTTCATGAGATCTAGAAATAAATCGATTATAGTTTTAGAATAAACTTAGCATTAGATGTTTAGAGCTACCTATCATTTGTACCACGTTTTCACTACTTCATTATACACATTACATATATACAAACGCACGCACAATCTTGTACATAATAATTGGATTTACTCAGTTTTTCGCTATCTTACCGAGCATATACAAAAACTTTAAAAAATGGTATTTGATTTTAATTGTGGGCGTGGCCTATTTTGACACACCTTATTTTTATTCCCAATCTTCAATTACACATCTATTTTATGTATTCATATTGTTTTTATTTGAATATATTGCCTTTTGCGTATGCACGGTGGTTTGTATTAATTTATTTTTAATGATTCCTTTCTTTTTTACGCAAGCATTCGTTTGGAGACGATAAAGAGGTTTGTTAAAAATTATTAACATCGAAATTCTTACGTGCCAGTATTCTGACACTTTTTATTGTATTTTGAACTTTATAGTGTTGTGATAGAGTTTTTTTTGGTGCAGCAACTTATGTCTTCGTTGGAGAAGAGAGAACTTCAGTTCAGTAACGTGATAGACCGCGGCGAGGCCCTGATTGCTCAGCATCACCCCGCTACTAAGACTATCGAGTCTCATCTGCAGGTTAGTGGGAGAAAGACATTTAAAAAACATATAATAAAAAAAATAAAAACACTTTATTAATCAAACCAGTTGCTCAATAATCATTGGGGTCTGGTTCCTGAGCTAGGTGGGGACCTGTATTACAGGAGGCAGTACATAATTATATATGTGATCATATGCATGTTTGGGACACTAGAAAATTTAAAAAATTAACGTTCTACTATTGTATGTAATATTAATTAGATATAACCTTACAAGAAAATTTAGAAGGTAGTTCTTGAAATGGAAGAAATCTTAATTTTTAAAGTTTAATTACCTCTGAATTTATTTTAAGTTTTCATGTTTAAAATATTTTTTTTCATATAACTAATTTGTTCCTAGGTGATGCAATCTCAATGGGCGTGGGTGTTACAACTGACGCTATGTCTTGAGACACATCTGAAACACACCACGCAGTACCATAACTTCTTTGAAGAAGTTAAAGAAGCAGAAAAATGGATACAAAAGTAAGTTAATCCATAGAATAAGTGGAATTACCTAATATGGCTGGCTCCGGTGGTGCACCGACTGGCCAAGACAGAAAAATCTACGCACGTCATGGGGCCCGCCGTCTACAACCGCATGCCGGACCACGTCACAGCGGCTACCAGTCTCGCGTCATTTAAAAATAAACTTAGGTCATGGCTAATACAAAAAGCCTTCTATAGTTTCGAAGAAATTTTGCTTACATGATTGTTTTATGTACACAATTTTTATTCATTCCTTTTTAATATATGTAAAGTTTTTTATTTTTTTTTTAAATTATGACTTGTAATTCGATTACCAATGAAATATTTGTATTTGTATTTATGACTAACTATTACATGCGACTTTTCGCGCGAAATTCAATTAAAAAACTTATTCTACAGACAACGTTATTTGTGCCAAATTTCATAGAGATCTGTTCCGGGGTTGTCTTCTAATACATTCATTTAAACTTTCTTTTTCATAATATTAGTAAGATTAAATTCTTTATTGGCCGGTTTCCCAGCTACTTTTACCCATTCGTTAGTGTTATTAATTCGATAAATTTATGAAATGCGTTTTTTTTGTAGCCTTAACTGCAT